CCATGTTACCAGTCTCGGTATATGGAGAGTTTGCGAGTTTTCTTTTTTGGTAAAAAGTTCGCGAGTTTTTGAAGGAAAAAAAAAATATTTTTGTCGTCAAATTGACCCATTTTTCTTACCTATTTATCATGGTCCTTGGCTCCTTGCTGAGTCTTGAGCAACATGAGAAGAAGTTCTGCTCCATCTGTTTTGCCAAACGCCGAGACTAGCTCATCACACTCAACATGAGAAGAAATTTGGATGTTCTCTTCATGTCATTATTGAATTTAAGTACAAATTCAGATACTCAATCCGTTACAAAATATAAGTTGTTTTACTTAAAAACACGTATATTAAAAAATTATTTTTCTATTAAAAATATCATTTAATATATCTAATAAAAATAATTTGACAAATCATATAAAAGATTGCAAAATATTAGTGGTCATATAATATTTAATAAAACTAAAAAATATATAATATTATCAAAACAACTTATACTTTAAAACATAAAAATAGCTAAAACAATTTATATTTTGAAACGGAGCGGATATCTTTTAAGTTTGAACATGAATGCTACTAAATCGTAGTGAGGATCACAAAAAAGCTTCGTATTTGGTGGACAACAAAGCTTGATTATTATTTTTTTTGCCGAAAAATAAAATTACAAGTCAGCACACAGTTCACGTGCGAAGCATGTGACTTAAAAAGAAAAAAGTCTGGCCATATGTCGTCAATTCTTCCGCAGAAGACAGCCAAATCTCTCTCTCTCTCTATTTAGGGTTCCCCTTCTCTCTCATCGGAATGGCCGGCGCCGGAATCCACCCTTACCACCCGCAGTGGCCTCCGGCAGGAGCTCCTCCTCCTCCCGCCGCAGTCTCATCAGCTGCTCCACCACATCCCCCGCCCGTACATCACCATCATCCTCCTCCTCCTGTTTTAGTTGACAACCATAATCGTCCTCCTTACGACGAGGTTACAACTCACTCTCTTCCTCTCTCTGTATCAATATTTGTTTGGTAGTTCTTGTGATATGTTTTCCAGATGATGATGGGTTTGTTGATTTTGTTTAAGGCGACAAATTTGTTACCGAATCGATTAGTTGCTGCTGTGTCTTTGATTGGGGACCTTATCAAAACTTGGAATTTTCAAGTTACCAGAGGCAATGATTTGCCAATCAAGCACTCTTATTTTTTTGAAAATATATGATTGTCATAGTTTATATAGCAGTTGTTATATCGGTTGATTGAGTTCTTAGCATTTGAATTGTTGTACCTGCATCTGGATTTGAGTTTTATGATTTTGGATAAACATGATTTCTTACACGAGTTTGAATCTGTTTGTTCAGCTTCGCACAATCTTCATCGCAGGGCTTCCCGATGATGTCAAAGAGAGAGAGCTTCTGAATCTCTTAAGATGGTTGCCTGGTTATGAGGCTTCTCAGGTGAACTTCAAGGGAGAAAAGCCCATGGGGTTTGCTCTTTTCTCCACGGCACAGTTTGCTATGGCAGCTAAAGATACCCTTCAGGTCTTTCTCCTTATGATCATTCTTGACTCAGAGTCAGATCCTTATTTATTTCTGACATATATTGTTTTTGGCATTGTAGCATCTGGTGTTTGATGCTGAGTCAAAGTCTGTGATACATACAGAGATGGCCAAGAAGAATCTCTTTGTTAAAAGAGGTTAGCTGTTCCTTTATGGCATAAACTGGTTGTACTTTTCCATCTATAGCATCGGTCATGTTACTGACGCATGTTTGATACGGTTTTGTGCATTCATTACGCTCTCCCCTTTATTAAGTTTCGTACTTGTATTGGTTCCTATCACCAGTCACATGTCACCTTTGAGCTCTATTGTTATTATGTAGGAATAGTTGGGGATTCAAATGCTTATGATCAAAGTAAGCGCTTAAGAACTGGTGGTGATTGCACACACTCTGTTTATAGTCCGTCTCCCTTTCACCCTCCACCTCCTCCAGTTTGGGGACCACCTCATGGGTGAGACACTTGAATTTTTTTCATATCTATGGTTTTAGATGCTGTGTAGGAACTGGTAGAACATTTTATTCTGGTATGTCGTTTCTGGTTTAGTTGCTTTTTTTGACGGAATATATAATATGATTCAGGTATATGGCACCTGCACCTCCACCATATGACCCCTATGCAGGTTATCATGCTCCCCCTGTACCGATGCCTGCCCCTGCACCTATAGCAGCTCCTAGTTCATATGTGCCCGTCCAGGTGAAGTTGCACTATTTTCATCATTTCATTTACATAGTTTTGCTACTATCTTCGACCTGGAATCCATGTGATACTTGCCTATCCTTGCCTAATATTTACAAACTCGAAGTTCATTCTGATTATTGTCACGCTATACTCTGTGGTGGTGGTGTTTTGGAACAATAGTTGTGGCCTAATTTAAATACACTGTGTACTGCTCTGAATTTGCTATAGTTTCTGATTGTTTATAAACCTTGAACCCAGTTTTGAGGTCTATCTAGCCTAGGTTTGGTAACCTTATGTCTCATGCTGTTGTATATTTTTTTGATTGCAGAATATTAAGGATAATCCTCCTTGCAATACTCTATTTATTGGTAACCTTGGGGAGAATATAAACGAAGAAGAATTGAGGAGCCTGTTGAGCGCGTGAGTATCTGTTTGCTTGAATAGCACTCCTTCGGTTCATTGCTTTCGTGTTGTCTAGAAACATGTGGTCAATTCTACTTTCATCTTGCAGGCAACCTGGTTTCAAACAAATGAAGATTCTGAGACAAGAAAGACATACAGTTTGCTTCATTGAATTCGAGGTTGATTCTCGCCCTCAGCTATCTTTGTGTATATGCACCAGACATTACTTTTCTAGCATATTGTTAAATGGTTCTATTTTGGCTTGCAGGATGTCAATAGTGCCACAAACGTTCACCATAATTTGCAAGGTGCTGTCATTCCAAGTTCCGGTTCAATTGGCATGAGGATCCAATATCCTTTAACTACTCACTCACTCTGCTTGTTTTTTTTCTCCTGCAAAAATTATCTGCCCCCGTTTCCTTTATATTCCAATATGCCTTGTTCTTTTTTCATTTCCGTTTATTTTTTCTTAACCCAATGATACATATTCAAAGAATCCATATGGGAAGAGGAAGGACGGCGGCGGCTATTCTTTCTTTCCTTCTCCGAGTGCAAATGGAGCTCAAGGAGCCCTGACATATCAGTAGGCCTTTGAAGGGGATGCACTCTCTTCTTTATCTTCCAACAACTGCACGAATAGGATGCATCTTGCAGGAAGTCCGCATTGCATCCATATCATTCTCCACATTTTTAAGCATCAGCATTGCTTCTTTCTCATGTGATGGATGCATATAGTGTGACCTCATCAACATATAACATGTTTCAGATTCTCTTAGCTTTGATAGATGCATTCTCAGTGTGGTTTTCAATGCTTGTTTTAATTCTGTAGAAGCTTGGTTTGCTATTTGCTTATCTTTTTTGCTGCTTTTAACGCATCACATTGTGGGATTCATTTCCATCATTCCGCCGAATTCATCCCATTGAAACTCCATTTGCAATGTGAGCTAGGAAACAACATAACATTACATGACATGTTGACATCCAGAGGTCTTTCATCAACTTTCACTGCATCACGTATCACATCAATAAGGAAACATTACATTCTGTGGAATATGGCTCTTCAATATATGGCTCTTCAATCACATCGGTGTCATTCTTCGGCATTTCCAATCTTGATCATTCTCTGTTCTTACTTAAGCTGATGAACAAAAACATCCATTTTGTTAGTTGTTGAATTCGACAGCTGAGTTACCATTCGAAGATAGGCACTCCATTACATTGTAGGTAGCAATTACATATCGATTCCCAGGTCTGGCTTGTCCTTATGCAGGGACAATCATCGAAGAGAAAGCCGAGGCTCTCAAATAAAGGAAGTGTTTAACCTACAAACTGAGGTAAGATAATCTTCTGACAATCAGTAACAGGGCCAGATGCAAGAGTTGGTAGGAGCCGAGTATGTTTTCAGTGGAGTCTACTCGATTTTGGACGTGAAACGAGAAGCCAGTTTAGTGACTCTCCCCATTCTGTGTTCTTTCAAAAGAGCAAGCTACTGTTCCATTGTCATGAACAATCACTTGTTTATTGGAGGGGATTGCCAAATAAATCTTAAGGGTCTTTGTTAACTAATCAGATTTTGAGGTATAGGATTAGAAAGGTCTTCACTTATTCAAAGCCTAAGCTTGCACAGTTTTTTGTTTCCCTAAATTTAGAACCATGGTTCATTTGCTATAAAGAAAGGTCAAGAGTTAATACTTGCTAGGAAATAACAGATACAACCCAAGAATCCACAAATGATCATCTCAGGAGGGAAACAGAAAGCTCCATGTTTTTCATTATTAAGATTGGAGAGTCAAAGCTTTCATTGCAAACAAGAAAGAAAAACAAATTATGCAGAGAAGGGTTATTGCATCCCTTATCCATGTGTCCATAGAAGCAATAATACATCAAACTTGAAAACCTTGGTCTTGTTGAAAAATCTCAAACTTCAGGTGTGTCTGAGCGCAGAACTGTCAACAAACAACATAACAACTAGTGTTAACCGAGAGAAGTGCATTGCCTCTAAACAAAACCGAGGTAAAAGATCGAAATTCTCTTCTTCACGTTGTCGAGGCAAAGATGATCAAATGTGAGCTCAAAACACCATTTTTTCTCAAAATATTTCAGAGTTCTCAATCCCTTTCCTAAACAACTCAAGTGGAATTTGGGAATCCAATTCATTTTCATCAATTAAATTAGAACTCAAGATCCAACATTTAAACATCTAAATTAGTTAGGCTAAAGAGGCATTGATGACTTTAAGCATATGTAGTAGCTACAAGTCCTTTTCCTAATCGTACATTTCCAGTTCCTAATCGTCAAGGTTCTCAATTCACGTTCTCCAATTTAATCTTGTAGAAGAAGGAGCAAATCCAGTAAGGCAGACACAGAAATGAAGAAAACACACAAAGAAAAAGCTAGATCTCGATCAAATTGGAGAAACGATAAGGATCCTGAAGAGAGGTACCTGGTTTCTGGGGTTTTCCATCAGCCCATTTGGAGAGGTTGAAGTGAACCTTCTCGCGATGGATAGATTCAGCCTTGAAAGGCTCCTTGAGACAGTTTCTGACCAGATTCGCGCAGATGTTCGAGTATGTGATATACGTCATCCCCGCCGCTCTCCAGAACGGAACCGCCGCATTCGATGCCATCTCCGATTCTCTCTGTTTTGCTCCAAAGGTTTCGATCGATCTATAGAGACGAGATTGAGAAGAAGAAGATCGAAGCTTATCTCACAAATTCGCTGCAAATGGAGAATAATACCTAAGTGATGATGATGATTCTCAGACCTAGTCAACCCTCTACTCGTACTCGGCCCACTGGGCCTTAGGCCCAAGGAATTAGACGAGTTATCCAAAACTTTTCAGAGAATAAAGATTAGTATCTTTTTTTTTTGGGTATAAATACCGATAGGTTACGTTACATTAGAAAACTTGATAAAAATGCAAAGGAAATGCATGTTTAAAGTCTAATAGCATTAGTACTTTGCGTCAGGAAATTTAGAATGTATATATTGCAAACAAGAAACGTTTATATTCTTTACCAAACCATCTATTATTATAGCATGTACTTGACGAGTTTTGCTTGTATCCAAAACTTTCCAAAGGATAAATAAAGATTTGTATATTCTAAACCTTTTTTTTTTTTATCTATAGGTTACGTTAGAAAACTTGATAAAAATGCAAAGGGAAACGCATATTTATAAGTAGAAATAGCATTAGTACTTTGCGTGAGGAATTTTTTAGATTGTATTACAAACAAGAAATGTTTATATTCTTTACCAAACCATCTATTATATAAGCATGTTGACGTACCAATATTCACAAAACATCTCTATCATTATTTCATCATAAATTTCAAATCCTCTTTGTTCCGTTTTAGCCATGGATTCTTTTTCAAAGAAGCAATATGTTCATCCTCTTGCTTTTTGCCCTTTTGCACTACGTGAACATGAGTGGGACGAGGTTCGATCGATACAATTCGGAAAATCACCAACGTCTTCATCAACATTTTCATCTCATATTCGTCCCTTAGATTGGTGTAACAACAAAGATGGTATATATGGCAATTTATTATGCGGAGTTTGCTTCCTTCCGATAGGCGCCGATACCTCGATGTATTCATGCAGAGGATGTTTTGATGATGATCACAGAACTGGTAGTTACCACAAAGAGTGTATCGAACCAATATCAAAGCATCCGTATCATCCTAAACATTCTCTCATTCTTCAATTTTTTTGGTTTGGTGACCTACTATGCCAATGTTGTTCAAAACCTCAAAATTTTTTTTACATGTGCTGTATATGCGATTTTCGTATGTGTCAAAGTTGTTCGAGAAAGCCACCTCTCCTTAAAATAGACCATCCAAAAAGACATGATCATACCCTCTTCTACTTTCCTAAAATAGGTTCCTTGATTTGTGATTTTTGTGCATTGAGTGATCATTATTCTTCGATGTATCTATGTCTTCAGTGTGATATTGTAGCCCATAAAGAGTGTGTCTACTTGCCATGCATCATAAGGATGTCGCGGCATGAACACCGTCTCTCCTTTACTTATTCTCTTACTCCTGAAAAATTGTTATGCGGAGTGTGTCGTGGAAAGATACACACAAATTATGGAAGATATTTTTGCATAAAGGGCTGCAGTTTTGGTGTCCATTCTAGATGTGCAACACGGGAAGATGTATGGGATGGAAAAGAACTCGAGGGAATACCAGAAGATACATATGAAGAGGAAATTAAGTTGTATAATGTGATAAGCGATGGAATTATACAACATTTCAGTCATCAAAATCATCACCTGCAACTCGACGAGGAGACCAATAGAACATTTGATGCGAACAAACATTGTCGAGGTTGCGCACTTCCTATATGTAATGAGATTATTTACAGTTGCATGCAGTGTGATGATTTCATTCTCCATCAAACATGTGCACATCTTCCTCGGAAGAAACTACATGTGATGCACCCTCATCCCCTTAGTCTACAAGTGGAACTTGAAGTAGTTTGGATCAGCTGTAGTGCTTGTCATCGTAAAACCAATGGTTTCGTGTACTTGTGTGATAAATTGGAGTGTTATTTCATGTTAGACTTATGTTGCGCATCTATAGCTGAGCCATTGGATCATCGGTGTCATCCACATCCATTGTTTCTTACATCTAACCCTCAAACTCAAGAAATTTGTTCGGTTTGCAAAATAAATCAAGATTATCGTCTAAACTGTGGCGAATGTGGTTTTGTTTCGTGTTTTGGATGCGCCACTTTACCCAATAAAATGAGGTACAAGTATGACGAACATTTTCTCATCTTCTCTTATGATGAAGATGCAAGTAGTCAGTGTTTGTGTGATATTTGTGAAAAAGAAGTAGATCCGAAGAAGAATGGAGTTTATATTTGCAATGACTGCAACGTCACACTTCATATTGAATGTTTACTTGGAAACTACCCAGAACGGTATATAATGCCTGGTCGAAAACTCAGATCAGATGTTAGTATTCTTCCCAATAATAGTCTTACTCGTGACATATGTAATTTATGCCATAATCGGTGTCACGGAAAAGTAGTCTACGAAATGTCTGATAAAACAATATTGTGCTCTGAAAAATGTGTGAATGGATAAAATGCCCGGTCGAATCGTCTAGTAAAATGTTAGTATTCTTCCCAATAATAGTCTAACTCGCGACATATGTAGTTCATGCCATACTCGGTGTCACGGAAAAGTAGTCTACAAAATGTCTGATGAACAATATTGTGCTCTACAAAATGTGTACTTCATAATTTGTATTTCTGTCGTTAATAAAAAGAAATA